CAACATAGTGTGATGCTATTCTGTAGTACAATTGACCGACGAGTAAAGATTCGCTCATTTCTCTATATAGGCTGGACTGGCTGTCCATTGTTTTTTATATATTTATTAAGCTTAGTGAAATAAACTATAGTTAAATTAATACTTGAAAAGTGCATTGAATTTTTTTTAGTACAGCACTGTGCAGGTATTAAACAAATGCCTCATACCATCCTCATTTACCTGCTTTTCAGTGAAAGGATTACTGTATGCATACATAGGTTATGTGTAAATCACTTGGGGATTTTTTTGGATGAAAGATGCTGTATAAATGTAAGGTATCCTTTTTGTTGGTTAAAAGTAAAACTATTCCCATTACCAAAATAGTTAGCTGAAAGACAAATAATTTATTTCCAAAGTATTATGTAAAGCTCATACTTCCCCATCCATACATCTTAATGTTCGTGACCATAAATCTCAGCTAAAAATGGTATTTGCAGTCATTAATGAATGAGGCATTTTTTTCTTAATTCCCATCAATGATACAGGGTAGAATAATTTGCCATCTCTGGCCACGTCTACAATGGATCTGGAAGGTCAACTTAAAGTACCAGAGGGGTAGCTGTGTTAGTCTGAATCTGTAAGAACAACGAGAAGTCCTGTGGGTCTTTGCCCACGAAAGCTTATGCTCCAATAAATCTGTTAGTCTATAAGGTACCACAGGACTTCTCGTTGTTTCAACTTAAAGTACACAACTCCAGCTACGCAAAATGCTGGAGAAGATCGACTTCCAGAGCTTTGATCTTGCAGTAAGTATAGATGTGCCTTCTGGAAAGAATGTTTGCTGCACTGTAGCCCACACTTCTTGTATCTGACTCCCATTTTTAAAACAATTAATTTAGCTAGCCCAAAGCCAGACTCCAAGACTGCCTCTTAAAGCTGGAATCCCAACTAATTCCCCAACAGGAAACCTCAAATTCTGTTGAACTAGTTTCCTGAAAGTAATTATTTTTTTCCTTTGACTTTATAATAATTTGATACCATTCCTATCATTCTAATATTGTCCTGAAACTCTCAATAGAAAACACAAAACAGGAATAGGTTACTGAAGGTTAAATACAACATTCTAAAGGATTTAGGAAAGATAAAAGTGACCACTAGGCTGTCTTAAATTCTGCCAGCCAAATCTATTGAATGAACTTTACCAAAATTGAAGATGAGAGAGAGACTCTAGTGTATTTAGTTCCAACAGTAGTAACAGCCACAGGTCTTTAAGCTACTGTGCAGTTTTATTTTCATAGGACTTATCATAAACTCTTTTACATAATTTAAATGATTATCAAATAACCTCCTGTACATAACATAACAGAACTCATCTGCCTCACTTTCAATGCTTTGACACATTCCTGAAAGAAATCTAACAGTTTGCGGGAATCATGTTACTACAGTACATTTTGTCCAGAACGTATGCCATCAATTAACATATTATAATATTGCTGTTTGCAATATTCTGCAATACATTGTTAAATTTCAGGACACTAAGATTTGGTAACAGCATTTATAGTTATTTTTATTGTTCTCTTAATTTTTTTATTATGTTTGCACTTGTTTGTGTCCTCTCTTGAAAATCTGCCAGCACTTACAATGCACACAAGTGTGGGATACGATTTTAAATACACTGTAAGAGTTGACTGAGTTTTACTTTTAAACTCAAGTCACTTATAATTGGTCACGGCTGCTTTAAAGAAAAGCAGCCCCCGTTGCAAAGTAACATCAGACATGTAAATCAATTGCATTTGCCTACCGTAAAATAAAAAAGTCTCTCTAATCAATGCTAACAACATGTTACTGTGCACTATAAAAACACCTGAAAGAATAAAATAGTTTACATTTTTATTATGTGCAGTGATAGAACCTGAACAAGGAGACAAGAGATTGTTCCCAATGTAAAAGTAAATGAAAACCTAAAGGCCAGGCTCTGCCACTTTTACAAAACAATCTCATTAATTTCAGTGGGACTACTAGCAGAGTAAGGTATTATGTTCTATGCCTATGGCAAAATATGGCCCTAAACTTACTGCCACTGAAGAGCTTGATCTTTTTCTCAGAGGCAGTAGTGTCTGGTCCAAAGCCTCTGACGTTAGTGGAAAGCCTCCCTCTGGCTTTGGATCAGACCCTTGACTATACTGAAGCCAATGGTGGTGTATAGGAGAGAGGGATCAGACCCAAGCCATCGCCGTTTTCAGAGGCACATAGTAACAGCACACACACAACTCTGGCTATGAAAGACACCCCATCTCAGGCTGGCAATCGGCAGCTGTAAGACAGCCCCGGATTACAGGCTAAGTGGGCACCACCCCCATTTCACAGCGCTCCTCTCCTCCCACTTTCTGGATGTATTTGTCCTCAGTCACACAGTGGAAAGGGAGGGGGAATAAAGTGATCTCGGCTCTCTGCCAGCTGGCAGGTCCCAAGCAGCCGGAGCCCGGCCCCCCTCCCCAAGCCTCCCCTAGAGGCCCGAATAGGCCACCCTGTTGTACGCGGCGCTGTACTCATACGGCATGGGGGGAGGCGGCGGGAGGGGGCAGTCGGGGAAGGAGGGGGCAAAAGCGG